CAAAACTGTCTCAGCCAGATACCAAGATCAGGTTCAACAGTGATACATCACATTGATAGTATGTGTATTTTGTGTGTTGGGGCTCAGTCTGTTAAGTGTCTGCTTTTGGCTCAGGTCATGATCCCAGGGTCCTGGGATCAAGCCCAGCATTGGGCTCCCCATTCAGCAAGAAGCCTGCTTCTCCCTCTCCCACTCCCCCCTGCTTGTGTTCCCTCTCTCGCTATCTCTCTCTCGTGTGTCAAATAAATAAACAAAATCTTAAAAAAAAAATACATTTATCTATGTAACCCAAACACCTCACACCTACATTTTTTATAAAATGTCACAAAAATCACTAGAGTACAATACACACAGAATGGATAGGTATTGTTTGGTGAACATCATATATAACTGAATCAGATACGTATGTACATGTGTGCTGGGTCACAATAAAATTTTCACAATAAAAAAGTAAAAATCACTGGTTTTGTAGGAGAGCTTAGTATGTAATCAAATTTAGCCACCTGAAGTTGATGCTTAGTAAGCCTAAATGAACCTCTAATGACACTAATACACTGAGCAAGGCAAAGAGGCACTGTGACAGATTAAAGATGGCATCAGATTATGAGTCAGGGGACCAGAATTCAAGACTTCACTCTACATCTCAGATTATCCATTTTCCCATCTGCAAAATGAAGAGAGTGCACATCAGGGCTGACAGATATAAGATGCATATGTTGCCACACCCTGCTTCCTAACCTGCAGCTGACATACTCATCATTCATGGCATCCTTTTGAACCTAAACAGTTGCAGAATCCTTCCAAACACAGTGCTCAAAGCAGCAAATACAGTTAGTCACAGTTGGCACCCAAGTTACAATCTATTTGTCATCTCTGGATGACAGCCTCAGAATACACCATCAGAAATATGAAAACTGTACCCAATTCACACATTTCAATTGTTCCTCTCCTTTCTCTAGGCATTCAGTTTGTGTCATAAAGGGTCTTGGGATATTGATCTGCTCATATTCTACTATGACTATACCAAACTTCCTCATCTTGGCCTTTAGGCATCCTGGCATTCTTCGTGTAAGGCTCTCCTCAGTGAAATTTCCCTTCCTTATCTGTCCTCGATTCACACAGGCTCTTGGGTGTGGAATCCCCTAGGTCCTGGCAATTAAAACATCTTCCCCAGCCTGTGTTGTTGAATGCAAAGAGTTTTATAAACAGAGGAAGTTCATACCTGCTTCCTGGCCACTCCCAGCACTTGTCTAGGCATATTCTTTCCTTATTGCCCTACCTCAGTTTCATAATTATTTGATTTCTCTCCTCCCTGATGATTAGTAACCAGGAGAGGTGCTTAAAGCATTCATCTTCTGTTCTCAAACATGTACTTGTCTCTGAGTCTCCACATTGTATATTTCGGCTTTGTGTATTTCATAATGGAGTTTACAGTTTTACTTGTCTACTTTATTACCACGTAATCCTACAGTTATAAATTGTGTAATTGTTTATGAGCTGCAAAAAAAAAAAAAAAAGATGATGTATTCGAGCCTTTAGATGCCTTCAGCTACTATTTTCAAGGCTTGCATCCTAATGAGTATCAATTCAACACGCCCTTGTTTGTCATCCTTGTTCCTGAAGTCAGTGGGAAGGAATGCTGTGCTTGTTAAGGTAGAAACCAATTTGATCCTTTGGTGTAACATCTCAGTGGGATCATTTTACATCTCATTTTACCGTAAACTTAACATAGCCAGACGTTTAAAGGCAAAGGTTTGGACATGAGTACCTTTGAGATGTTATCTTTTTATTTAAAAAAAAAAAAAGAGAGAGAGAGAGAGAGAGTAGGGGGAGGGGCAGAGGGAAAGGAGACTAGCAGACTCCCTGCTGAGCAGGGGGCCCCTGACGGGGCTGGATCCCAGGACCCTGAGATCATGACCTGAGCCGAAACCAGAAGTTGTCTAGACATTCAACCGACTAAAGCCACCCAGGTCCCCAAGACAGTAGCTTTCTTTTAGCTGGCAGTTGGAATCCAGAGTATAGGATTATAATTTCTAAATTTCATGAAGATTCTTTTAAAATAACTTTGCTGGGATGCCTGGGTGGCTCAGTTGGTTCGGCGGCTGCCTTCGGCTCAGGTCATGATTCCAGAGTCTTGGGATCAAGTCCCACATCGGGCTCCTTGCTCAGCGGGGAGCCTGCTTCTCCCTCTGCCTCTGCCTGCCACTCTGTCTGCCTGTGCTCACTCTCTCTGACAAATAAATAAATAAAATCTTAAAAAATAAAATAAAAAAAAAACTTTGCTAAACGGCAATAAAAGAATGAATGGTAACTTAATTTACTGGTCTCCAGCCATAATTTACTGGCAGTAATTTGTGAGAATAAAAGCAGCACTTAATACCAAATGACTAAATGGGGTATGTTGCAATCCCACCTACAGTAGTGAGCTTACTTCCTGGAAGAGGGAGTGAATGACTACAGGCCTCCCCCCCCATGGCACAGCTGCCATGTCCCCCGCTGAGCTGGTCTACAGAACATCCTGCCCTGTGCCCTCAATGAACATGGCAGCCCAGGCTTTGCCAGACTGGGCCTGGCTCTTTCTAGCTCTTTGTGTTTGGCATTGTTGTGAGATAACCACCTGTCTGATATGGTTTAAGAAATAAGAGATGAGCTGGGGGGGGCAAAGAATAATACAAAATGTAGTCCAAGAATTATCCTGTAACCTGTTGCAACTTTTCTGTAAAATTATTCCAAATTTTAAAAGTTCATTTAAGGGGCACCTGGGTGGCTCAGTGGTTTAAGGCCTCTGCCTTCAGCTCGGGTCATGATCCCAGGGTCCTGGGATCGAGCCCCGCATCGGGCTCTCTGCTTAGCAGGGAGCCTGCTTCCTCCTCTCTCTCTCTCTCTCTGCCTGCCTCTCTGCCTATTTGTGATCTCTTCTGTCAGAAAAATGAATAAAATCTTTAAATAAATAAATAAATAAATAAAAGTTCATTTAAGAGGGGCACCTGGGTGTCCGTCGGTTAAGCGCCTGCCTTTGGCTCAGGTCATGATCCCAGAGTCCTGGGATGAGCCCCATATCCGCCTCCCTGCTCAGCGGGAGGCCTGCTTCTCCCTCCCCCACTCCCCCTTCTTGTGTTCCCTCTCTCACTGTCATTCTCTCTGTCAAATAAATAAGTAAAATCTTAAAAAATAAAAAAAAGTTAATTTAAGAACTATTATTAACAGGACCCCTGGGTGGCTCAGTCTGTTGGGCTGCTGCCTTCGGCTCGGGTAGTGGTCCCAGGGTCCTGGGATCAAGTCCCTTATGGAGCTCCTTGCTCAGCGGGAAGCCTGCTTCTCTCTCTGCCTCTACCTGCCACTCTGCCTGCTTGTGCGCTCTCTCTCTGTCTCTCTCTCTGACAAATAAATAAAATCTTTAAAAAAAAAAAAGAACTATTATTAACCTTGGTGTTTTGCACTTAATTTTCACAGCTACTACAAAATGTGAATATGATACTGTCAAGGGAGTCAGGGAGGCAGCTCCGATGCTCCTGATGAAAGAAGCACTGGCCATTGGTCAGTATTGTGCTGTCTTGCCCTGATCATTTCAAAATCTATAGCAAGTGTAGGAGGACCCAACACGAGTTTCATTATAGCCAAGTTAGAAATAAAATTGCAAGCATGGACCCTTGGGAGTGATGAGGACAAATGAGGGGGTGTCATGGATCCAGGCATGTGCCTGGCTTCTGAGCTGCCTCTTATTTCTGACACAAGTAACCTAGAGACTTTGAGGATCCTTCCATCCCTAAACTTCAATTTGATTGGCCTTAGAGTGGGGATAACACAAGGAGCTGCCTCAGAGAATTGTGGGAATTAAGGAATATAGGAAAATTGCTTGGTAGAGGACCTTCCATAGGACAAGTTAGAGGGCCTTGGTGGGGGGGCTTTAGCAAATAGTGGAGATTACTACTACTGTTCCCACCACTGAAGAAAGAAAACTTCACTGTAGAGCTTGTCTCTCCTAAAATAAAGTTCATAAAATAAAGTTCAGGTGCCCTCACCTTATAAACTCTTCAAGACCTTTCTGCATTTTTATATGTGTGTGACTTGAGCAGTGTTATCAATGTTTTTGTAAATATTTACTATGTTTTTGTATTTCACTTAATCCCAACAACTTTTGCTTTAATAAAATGTTCTAAACATTGAAAAAAAAAATCACCACTTCTTTATCTTTGTATTCTCTTGGTACTTGACACATAGTTGGTGCCCAACAAAAATGATGAATCTATTGAACAAATACAAGTAGCAGAAGTATTGGGGAAATTCAAAAATGATTTGAAAGAGGGGCACCTAGGTGGCCCAGGTCTTTTTCTCAGGGTTGTGAGTTCAAGCCCCACATTAGGCTCTGTACTGGGCATGGAGCCTACTTTAAAAAAAAAAAAAAAAAAGATTTAGAGTATAACTAATGAAGATTTCTGTTTAGTTTTTTTTTTTTTTTTTAAGATTTTATTTATTTATTTGACAGGGAGACACACAGTGAGAGAGGGAACACAAGCAGGGGGAGTGGCAGAGGGAGGAGCAGGCTTCCCACGGAGCAGGGAGCCTAATGTGGGGCTTGATCCCAGAACTCTGGGATCATGACCTGAGCCTAAGGCAGCGGCTTAACAACTAAGCCACCCAGGCACTCTTCTAGTTTTTGGGGTTTTTTTTAACTTTTTAGATTTGATTTGCTTATTTGATAGAGGGAGAGTGAGAGAGAGCACAAGCAGAGGGAGTGGCAGGCAGAGAGAGAGGGAGAAGCAGGGACTTGATCTCAGGACCCTGGGATCATGACCTGAGCCAAAGGCAGAGCTTAAGCGACTGAGCCACCCTGGCGCCCCTATGTTTACTTATTTATTAAAACCTCATTTAATTTATAGGAGCGAAGATCAATATTATCAGATAACATTTTATTTACTCTTGGTTCATCTACAGAATACATCTAATATTATCCTTTGAGATATTTGATCTTAACTTTTTGTTGTCCCTTCATCCTTCAGGTTCTAATTACAGCCACCCCTTGACATAACTTTTGAACTATCTGGAAAAATACCGCCCAGGAAAAAAAAAATGATAAAATTTTTCCTAATGGTGAATAAACAAGGACAGACCCGACTTTCTAAATACTATGAACATGTGGAGATCAATAAGCGTACACTTCTGGAAACAGAAGTCATAAAGAGCTGTCTCTCCCGATCCAATGAACAAGTAAGTTTCTGGTTCTCTCTTTTATCTCCACATTCAACTTGGCAAGGGCAGATCTGTTATTACCGAGTCTCAAGGGCCATCATTTTCTTTGAACTACATTCTTTCAACAGCTATTAGGGAAAATAACAAATGAAGTGAAATGAAGACTGAAGCATAGCTCTCTTTTACATCCCCTTAAGGAAAATACAAACAACGAAAACCAGGAAAAGCCTTGAGTTCTTATTCAAGTCCGGTATTTGTCTCAAATTTATTCCAGCTAATAGACATACCTTCTTTTTTTTCCATATGAATTTAGCCCTTATAACTCCGAGGGGTGTTCCCAGCAGGTAGCTCTCTTTAAGCCAAGAGATGAAAGTCAGATGATTGGTATAGAGGTAAGCACTTGAGATACATTTTGTGCCAGGGATACTGGCATGATTCGCAGGTAGACCATAGTTTTTTTCTGCTTATCATCTTGTAAACTTAACACCCACATAATTCAACAACTAGTGGTTAAAGAAAAAACAAAAAACAAATTTTATTTGAACTTGTCTTGTTTTATGATGTAGATGGGGTATGTGGAAGTTAAAAATTCATATGACACAACAAATCTACCCATTCTGTCAAAATGGAGGTTAAACAAAATTATTAAAATAATAACAAATAGGAAGTTTAGGAACTGAGTCTATTTTTACAAAGAGGCTTAATTGGAGACGTACTTAATCTGGGTCCTGAACTTTGAATCTATTGGAAATCACTTAATAAACTGCAGCGAAATCAGAAAGCTTGTTTAAATCACCCATTAATTTTGCCAGTTCTCCATTTCATAGCATACGTAGAAAGGCCGCCTGTGGGAACCACAGCTAGGTCTTAAAATATTAAGGTATATCAGTGCTCAGAAGTTACATGTTGGAACCGTGTTTCCCTTGGCTCCTAAATTGATTTTCCAGTCTCAACATCTCAGAGTCCTCTTTGAATTACTGTTTGGGCTGGCTGTGGCACATACTGCTTCATGCACTTGTCAAAGGGAAAGGGGAACTATTAAAGGGCTATGCTAATAGACACATACTTTAAATAAAGATAAACTCAAGAAGCATTCCCGTTGAATCTTTCTGCAGAGTGCAGGCACTGCACAGTTTCAAACACCATCTTCATGGATACGTTACCTTTTGAAATATATGCTTTGGAACGAATATATATTGTGAGATATTTTTGAAGCATTCCGAATTCTTTTTTTAAAGATTTTATTTATTGAGAGAGAGAGAAAGCGAGAGAGGGAGAGGGTGAGAGAGCGAGAGCGAAAGCGAGAGAGACAGAGAGAGAGAGAATGAGCTAAGGGGGAGGGGCAAAGGGAGAGGGAGGGGCAGACTCCCCCTGACCAGGGAGCCCCATGTGTGCACAATCCCAGGACCCTGGGATCATGACCTGAGCCGAAGGCAAACACTTACCTGAGTGAGCCTCCCAGGCGCCCTCTGAATTATTCTAGATTTTAAAAGGAACCCAGTGGGCTTTGGGATAATTGGGTACTGAACAATCTCAGCTTAGTTTTTATTTTATCCACAAAGGTGCGTTGTTACTTTTTTTTTTTTTTTTCAAACTCCTGAGAGGCTTTGAAAAATGTTCTTCAGTTCTTTCAGAGAGCTTGTGTTTCAGGCACCTGGGTGGCTCAGTTGGTTAAGCCTCTGCGTTCAGCTCCAGTCATGATCCCAGGGTCCTGGGATCGAGCCCCATATCGTGCTTCTCCCTCTGCTGCTTCCCATGCTCGTGTGCTCTCTATCTGTTAGATAAATAAAATCTTAAAAAAAAAAAAAAATAGGTTGTGTTTCCTTGAAAGATCTAACTAAGCAGAGATCGCACTGGCTCTACAGTGAGCCAAAAGCTGCAGAGTCATCCTGCATTTCTTACCTTTATCCTAATTTTAAATAAGAGCCTCAAATCCCTCCATTTTATAGATGGTCAAATGCCTTAACCATGGAAGAAACTTCATAATTAACACATACAGCTTCAGGGGTGCCTGGGTGGCTCAGTGGGTTAAGCTTCTGCCTTCAGCTCAGGTCATGATCTCAGGATCTGGGATTGAGCCCCGCATCGGGCTCCCTGCTCAGCAGAGCCTGCCTCTCCCTCCCCCTCTGCCTGCCTCTCTGCCTACTTGTGATTTCTCTATCAAATAAATAAAATCTTAAAAAAAAAAAAAGAAAAGAAAAAAAAACTTACAGCTTCATCTCCAGGTGCATCTGGGTGCCCAGGAGCAGTTACCCCAGTGCAGATAGCCATAGAGTTCATGTGCAGTCACATTTGGTCAAGCACACCCAGAAGTCCAAAGGAAGGGCAGCACTGTGCCTTAGGCTGCTTTCCAATTCCTGTCTACCCGGTGCCTTCCCAATATGCTTTGTACAATGGCTGTAGGAAAGATGAATCGGAAGGGAGTTATTCTAACCACCAGCCCATGGTGGTAAACTTGTTATTAATTCATAAGAAGCAATGTTTATGATGGGAGATTTTGTCTAGCATCTGCCCCACAAAAGCCAAAACTTTAAATAATTTATAAAAGAGTCTACATGGATTCTTTTCATGGGTCTAGGAAAAAGAAATCAGGATTATTTTTGCATGTGTGTATGCTGTATATATTTGGCTATTCATTCGCTATTAAATAGTACAAAACTAAATCTCTAATTGCTTCCCGAAGAGCCTAGGGGAGATGAAAAGAAGAAAATCTTCTTTGTCATGTTGACATCTTTTCATGTTGGAGGCAATTTAAAATTACGCAGTACCTTTGCCGGCTGATTTCCACACAGAGTAAAGCAAAGGAATGAGAAGGAATACAGGTGGGAACCCACGGGGATGCTCCAAGCCTTTTTTCCTAGACCCTTCTCTGCCTCCCACTAGAGATGCTTCCAAGTAGTCCCATGAATATTGTGAGGAGGCAACCAACAGGCACCAACCAAAAGTGTGTAACATTTTAATATTGTATATTTCTAGGACAGTGTTAACCAGTACTAAAATCAGAACCTAGAAATTATGCAAGCCATTTTGAAGAAATCCATGCCAACCGTAGGAATTAATATCTAATTGTGTTTTATTTCTAGTGCTCTTTCATTGAATTTAAGGATTTTAAGCTGATATATCGACAGTATGCTGCTCTATTCATTGTGGTTGGAGTTAACGACACTGAGGTAAGATAATAGAGGAGCCTATGGAAAATGCAAGAAAATTAGGAATGACAGTCTGATTTAAAAAAATTTTTTTCAAAGATTCTATTTAGGGGTGCCTGGGTGGTTCAGTGGGTTAAGCCTCGGCTTTGGCTCAGGTCATGATCCCAGGGTCCTGGGATCGAGCCCCGCATCAAGCTCTCTGCTTGGCGGGGAGCCTGCTTCCCCTTCTCTCTCTGCCTGCTGCTTTGCATATGTGTGATTTCTCTCTCTGTCAAATAAATAAGTAAAATCTAAAAAAAAAAAAAAAACCATTCTATTTATCTGACAGAGAAAGAGCACAAGCAGGGGGAGCAACAGAGAGAGAGCAAGAATCAGGCTCCCCACGAAGCAAGGAGCCTGACTTGGGACTCGATCCCAGCACCCTGGGATCATGACCCAAGCCAAAGGCAGACACTTAACCAACTGAGCCACCCAGGCACCCTGACAGTCTGACTTTTATTCCTCCTTAAATTGACATTTTCTTCCCTACTTGCCTATCTAAGAATTATCTTGACTCTTAAAAGGATCTTGGTTTCTATCAAGGCCAGGGAAAGCTGTGTGAAAGAAAAATATCTGGGATTTTTCTTGAATTAGATGAGCAGCTTGGGTAAACACAAAACCATAGAATGCTTTCCCCGACCCTAGGCAATACCAGGTTCTTGCTCTTGTTCTGTGTGGCTCAGTGGGGCAACTGAGACAGGGGTAGAGGCCAGTCAGATGTGGCATTAAATATAGGCCGACAGATCAGAAGCCAGAGCAAACTATAAATATGATTGTGTTAATAATGAATTTCCTCAGATTTAGTTCACCTTTCCAGAAACATCAGTCCCAGATCAATAGAACCTATGGCTATTGAATCCATGAAAAGTCATTTAAGATATAAGATACCTCAGAATTTCAGTTGATTGTTTTTTTATCCATGAACCAAACCTGGAGGTAGTTTCCCATCTTCCCAAATGGAAAAATGGTGGCATGAAGAACCAAAAACATTTTTTCAGCCAGTTGATGATAAAGTCAGGGAGCAGAGCTCAAAACCCTAAACACTAGACCCGATCTGGTTTCAGTCCAGTTACGTTCACTGGGGACTTAAAATCCTAGAGGTTAAGATTTTCGATTCTCTCTCTGTTGGTAAGCTTCTTTCAAACAAGTGAGTCCTAGAACTATTCTGAATATTTGTCAGAGTCTAATTACATACGGCCATACTAAAACTAATTGTGCCCTTCCTTTTTTATTTCAGAACGAGATGGCCATTTATGAATTCATCCATAATTTTGTGGAAGTGTTAGATGAGTACTTCAGCCGAGTGGTAAGTCTAATGACTAAAAAATGGCTTTTGTCCTCCACCCAGTTTCCCAGAAATGGGTCTATATCAAGAACCTGTGTTCATACAGAGCTTTAATATGTAAAAGTTAAAACTCAGATGATCCCACCTTTTCTTTACCTTTCCTTCTGGTTCATCCAAAGTGTTACAAAACACTGTGTGCCTTAGATCTTTATAAAGAATGAGTTCTACAAGCCTAAGAACCTCTTATGTCTTTCTTCTAATCAAGAGACTTTGTGTTTAACTTACTTTTCATCTTTCTTTTTTTCTGTCTCCCTTCCTAAGACACTAGGAACCTTTTTAGTTTAGGAATTATTTCCATCCACACGTTTGCTTTGATGACCAAAACCACCTCCCCTTAAGGTATACATAAGTTCCTTTCCTACAGCCCCCTTCTTACAGATTTTATTTATTTATCTGAGACAGAGAGAGGGTGTGGATACAAGAGTGGGGAGAGGGGGCAGAGTGGGAGGGAGAGAATCTCAAGCAGACTCCCCCGAGAGTGGAGCCTGTCACGGGGCTCAATCTCGTGCCCCTGAAATCATGACCCAAGCCAAAACCAAGAGTAGAACGCTTAACTGAGGGGCCTCCCAACAGCCCCCTTTTTAAAAAACAAAACAAAACCAAAACCCCAGCTATACTGAAATTGAATTTACATACCCCCAAACTCACCCATCTAACATACACAGGTTTTAATATTTACACACTTGTGCAGCCATCAGCAAAGTCAATTTTAGAATATTTCATAACCACCACGAAATCACTGTATCCTTAAGTACTTTGACTTAATATATTAGAGAAGATGCTTATTCCACCATTAATAATTTTATTCTTACCATGGTTCTCTTTATAAAGTTAATCACTCATCATGTAACATTAGTATACAAGTATTTTTAAAGAAAACGTATAAAAACAAAAGAACCCTGACAATGTAAAACAACAACAGCAGAATATTTTACAACCCCAAACAAACACCATTGCTATTAGCATTTCCCTCCCAATGATCTGGCTCCCTTGCTCCAGGCTCTGGGTAATCACCAATTTACTTTTTGTTCTATAGGCTTGCCTGTTCTAGATTTTTTTATTTATATAGACTTGTACAATATGTGGTCTTTTATGACTTTATTTTTTTACTTAGCATGACATTTTCAAGATTCATCCATGTTATAGCATGTGTCAGTACTTCTTTCCTTTTTTTTTTTCCCCCATGATGTCTGCAGCTTTCTTTGAATTGGTTATTAGGCCAGGAAGGAGGAGGGAGAGGAGAGGGAAGGAGAGGAGGAAGAGAGAGGGAAAGGGTAAGGACAAGGGTTGAGGGGGAGGACAGGGGACAAAGAAGAGGGGAAGGGAGAGGGAAAGGGGAGGGGGAGAAACTTTTGTTTGAAATGTTGAATGTTTGACAACTTTCATAATAAAGACTGTTGGGGTTGGGGGAGTGGAGAAGATAGCCAGAAAGGAGTGAAAGCAGGACCCTGGCCCAGAGGGGGTGCTTGGGAAAGCTGCTGCAGGTGAGAGGAGAGCCTGCCACCCTTCTCCTGGGGCCGGGGGCCTGAGGCCTGAGGCCTGGGCAAGGAGGGCAACCAGGGGACAGAGCAGGTATGCGCTGGACACCCAAATACAATGGGTAAAATGTGAGTAGGGTTCTGGGGAAAACACTGTTCTGGACAAAACCAAACTCCACCAGAGATCCCGACACTTATTTCAGAGATTAGCACTGTTTCCCTTCAGAATGACACAGGTATGGGAGGGGTTAGGAGCAGGACCCTGGAAGCAGAGAGCTGCCCAGAGCAGAACTCAGGAAACCTGCAAACCCTCAGATCTGGTCCGACACAGTCCCCAGGTTAGGGTCAGTTCCGCCATGTCACACAAACACCAGAAGGAATGCCAGCCTGAGCCTAGTCTGGACAGGAGCCAGAGCCCCCCCCCAGAGCCTCGTTGGTGGGCCTGGGGCCCTGAGGACCCCACTCCATACAGGTCCATGCCATCCCACACCGGGAGGCCTGGCCTCTCCACTCAGGTCTGTGTCTTGGTTACTAAGTGCCCAGAGCAGTGACCTCATCAGCACAGAGAGAATACCAGCCCCAGTTCTGCAGAAGCCAGAGTGGAAAGAGAAGAGGGGATCGGCACCAGCCAGTGGAAGGTGTTTGCAGGCACCCTACAAGTAGGGAAGAAGCTGAGACCCAGAGAGCAGGTATGGCCCTCATCACCTACTCCTGTACCACTGGTGAAATCTGCAGGCAGAACAGGGGTCAGACAGACCCCAGATGGGAACCCACCAGAGTCCCTCTTCCTGGCTGTATGCCCTGGGCAGGTCACCCAGCATCTCTGAGCCCAATGGCTGCTCTGTAAAACAGGCTTGCCTATAACATCCACATACAGAGGCCCATGGAGCAGCTGGTGAGCATGCATTTAGAGCAGTGCTTCCCACCTTGAGTTTATTTCCTGGCTGTGTCAATGTCCTATGGCCACTGTAACAGATGACCACAAACCAGGGGCTTACAGTAACAGAAGTTTATCCTCTCTCAGTTCTAGAAGCTCAAGGTGATGCTGGGTCACACTTCCTCCAAAGGCTCCAGGAGTTCTTAGGGGCCTGTGTTCCCAGGCCTGCGGCCGTATCCCTACAACCTCTGCCTGTCCACCCATGGCCTCTATTGTGTCTCTCCTCTTCTTCGCGGACACCTGTCATTGGATTGCAGGCCTACCCTAAATCCAAGCTGACCTTGTCTTGAAATCCTTAACTAATTACATCTGCAAAGACCCTAGTCCCAAATAAAGCCCCATTCTCCCCCCCTCACCACCCTTAAGATTTTTATTTTTTTAAGTAATCTTTACACCCAATGTGGGGCTGGAACTCACAACCCTGAGATCAAAAGTCATAGGATCTACCAACTGAGCCAGTCAGGAGCCACAATAAAAGCCACTTTCTGGGGCGCCTGGGTGGCTCAGTGGGTTAAAGCCTCTGCCTTTGGCTCAGGTCGTGATCCCGGGGTCCTGGGATCGAGCCCCGTGTCGGGCTCTCTGCTCCGCAGGGAGCCTGCTTCCCCCTATCTCTCTGCCTGCCTCTCTGCCTACTTGTGATCTCTGTCAAGTAAATAAATAAAATCTTTAAAAAAAAAAAAACCACTTTCTGAGGTTCTAGATGGATAAGAATGGGGGTGGGGGTAACTATATCATCTCCGAATTTCATTTCTGAACAATAAGGGACTCTTTAAAATATCTGTTAGAAAAAGGGGTCTGAGCCGGCCATGATCAGGAGGCAGGGAGAAGACGAAACTGACCCAGATAGATGTTTACGTAAATCTAGAAAGAAATACGGAGACATTTTAGCCCTTCTGAGGGAAAGACAGCAGGATGACTCTCCCATTAATAGTTCAAACTCTAAAAAGACACTTCCAACCAACCCAGGCAATGGGAGCGCAGGAGGCACGCTCCCCCTGGGCGTTGGGGGTTAGCCCTGCCGTGAGGCCCGCCAGCCGCAGGGCCCAGTCTGGGATAGATCCTGCCCCGTTACCCTCTGAGCCCCACGGTGACACGGTGCAAGGCAGACGGAGCTCCTGCCCTCTCAATCCATCCTAGGGGAAAAGCCACTTTTGAGAAACGGAGGGCAGGGGTGCTCGGGGTGCAAAGCCGTTCTCAGCGGTCCCGTGGGGAAGCACGACCCATTCACAGCACCTGAGCGGGGGGCGGTGGGAGCCATCTGCCCGGGCCGTGCGCCACGCGCCTTCACCCGGACGCGGAGAGCAGTGGCGGGCCTGCTCATGGAGCGGCTTACCTGAGGGGCCGGGAACAGCGGGGTCCCCCGTGGCCACCAGCGGCACACGCGTAAGGAGAGCCACCTGCAAACGCGTGAACTTTCCGCCCAAGGTGGTTCTTCCCTGAACTGACGCAGCACGTGAGATGGTTCCCGCTTGATAGGACGTGCTCGCGGCCCCTCACCTGGAGCCCCCGTCAGCTGGCTGCGGCCGGGAGATGAGGCTCGATGTCCCCGGGCAGCCGCAGGCGTCCTCAGATTCGGATCATTGGACCATACCGTGCCGGGGCAGAAGCTGGGCTTGGGGCGGGAACGGCAGGAGGGCCGGCCAATTATTTGGCAATAATTTTATTGCCAAATTATATTCTGCTAAGTGGTTATACCACATGTTGTTTACCTTTTCATTAGTTGATGGACATTTGGGTTAGTGATACCTTTTGGCTATTATGAATAAGGCAGCTTGGAACGTTTGTATAAACATTCTTGTGTGGCATCATATTTTGTTTTCTTGGGTAGAATATACCTAGGAGTAGAACTGCTAGGTGATGTGGTAACTCCATGCTTAACATTTTGATGCACTACGGAACTGTTTTTCCAGAGTGGCTGCATGATATCAGTTCTCATCAGCAGTATTTGAGGGTTCTAATCTCTCCATGGTCTTGGCAAAACTTTTTACTATGTCTTTCTGGTTATAGCCATTCTAGTGGGTATGAAGTAGTACAGGTGCCAGTTGTGGTTTTGATTTGCATTTCATTAATGGATAACAAATATTGAGCATCTTTTCATGTGTTTATTGGCCATTTGTGTATCTTCTTTGGAGAAATGTCTTTTCAAATCCTTTGTCCATTTTTTTCAGTTGCATTATTTATTTATTGATGAGTTGTAAGAGTTCTTTATATATTCTGAATACAGATATCTTTGAATTGATTGAGTAGAAAAATATCTTTGATTGAACTAATTGAATACAAGTACAAATACCTATCAGATATGATTTGAAAATATTTTCTCTCATTCAGTGAGAGAAATTTTCACTTTCCTGACAGTGTTCTTTGAATCATGATAGTTTGTTTTTTTTTTAAAGATTTTATTTATTTATTTGACAGACAGAGATTACAAGTAGGCAGAGAGGCAGGCGGGGTGCGGGGGGGGAGCAGACTCTCCAACTGAGCAGAGAGCCCAACTCGAGTCTTGATCCCAGGACCCTAGGATCATGACCTGAGCCGAAGGCAGAGGCTTTGACCCACTGAGCCACCCAGGCGCCCCTCCAATATTCTTTTAAAAAAGAATCAGTGAAGATGTTTTACTCTGCTCCCATAGGCCTTCCTGAGCCTTGGTTAGACATTCTTGAGAGGTAGTAGTGGCACAAACTGAGTTTTCAAAGTTGTTTTGGTTCTTTTGTTTTGCTTTTAAATAAAAAGGATTTTTTTTGTTGTTGTTATTTTGCTTTTAAATAAAAGGATTAGGAGGGAACTATTTCAAGCTGCTTTTTCCTGAGACAGTGAGTGGAATCTGGTCTATCGTTAGTAATATTGAGTGAACCGAAATCTACTAAGGACAAAACTCATGTTAAGAAGTTATATCTTGAAGGGCGCCTGGGTAGCTCACTCGTTTAAGCATCTACCTTTGGCTCAGGTCATGATCCGGGGGTCCTAGGATTGAGCCCCACATCAGGCTCCCTCCTCAGTGGGAAGCCTGCTCTCCCTTTCTCTCTGCCACTCCTTCTGCTTATACTCTCTCCCACTTTCTCTCTGTCAAATAAATAAGTAAAATCTTTGGGGGGGGAAAAAAAGAAGTTATATCTTCAGCCTAAGTCCTAATACATGAAGTAAAGTAAAATTTGGCACACTCCTTCTGCATGGGACCATCCACTAGCATGTCTTCATTGCTTTAGTGCAATGCTTCTCCAAGTGTGGTTCCTGGACCAGCAATATAAACATCACCTGGGAACTTGTTAAAAATCCAAATTGTGGGCCCATCCCAGACTACTGGATCAGAAAGTCTGAGTGGAGGTTCAGTAGTCTGTGTTTTAACAAGCCTTGTGGATGATTTGGATGTGTACTTAGATCGGATACCCACTACTTAATGCATGAGGAAAGCTAGGAAGCTGCCCTGTGGCCTGAGAGATGGTTGTGTATCTCGCTAGGATGGAATTAGTGCCCTCTGAAGCTGGAAGAGGTGGGGGAGTCAGGCCATTCCAGAGACTGGCCTTGAGGGGCCAGGGGACAGTAAGGCTGGCTTTAAACTCCATCTTTGTATTAATAGCTTGGAGAGAGTACCACAAGTCAGCACTGTCCAGTAGAATATTCTGTCACCATAGAAATGTTCTGTACCTGTACCATCCAGTGCAGTAGGCACTAGCTACATGTGGTTTTTTCAAAACTGGAAACCTGATTAGTATAAAGGAATTTATACTAGTATATATTAGTATAGAGGAATGAGGAATTTAATCTCAATTCATTCGATTCACCAAATGATGCTGGTGGTCATCGTATTAGACAGTATAGCTTTGGCTCCTGCTTAATCACAGGGACTGCTCTCTTAAGACAGACTGGTTTGCAAGTCAGTGTCTGTGATTCAGAGCTGGACATGATTAGCCATTTTAAAGGAATACCTATCAAGAAAAATACCACTTCCCAAAAAAGCAATATTTTAAACCTGGGATAATCATGAGTGAGTACAAGCATTACCAGTGCTAAGATTTTTAGTTTTTTGTTTTTGTTTTTTTTTTTGGTTTTTTTTTTTTTTTTTTTTTTTTGGTCAGAGAGAGAGAGGGAGAAAGCAAGCACAGGTAGACAGAGTGGTAGGCAGAGGCAGAGGGAGAAGCAGGATCCCTGCCGAGCAAGGAGCCCGATGTGGGACTCGATCCCAGGATGCCGGGATCATGACCTGAGCCGAAGGCAGCTGCTTAACCAACTGAGCCACCCAGGCGTCCCCACCAGTGCTAAGATTTTTAAAATTATTATTATATTTGGTGACTGAGAATAAATAGCTGGTTGCTGAATTCTTGCTGTAATTCTGGGGAGAGAGTCAGTGACCACATAAACCACAGAAATAAAGATTAGAATTTAATTTAAACTAGTAACTACACAGGACTCCAACAGTACTGTGAGATGGCTCCATTTAGGATCACAGCAGCAAAAAGAAGAGACAAGAGGAGGGAAGAGAGTACTATGGGCAAGAAAATAGAATCTGTCCCACTCAGAGGATGCCTTGTCATCTAAGACTTATTTTGGGGTTAGTGAGTTTTAAACATTCTTTCTGAGACTATTTTTATTTTTATTTATTTATTTATTTTTTTTAAGATTTTATTTATTTATTTGAGAGAGAGACAGTGAGAGAGAGCATGAGCAAGGAGAAGGTCAGAGAGAGAAGCAGACTCCCCGTGGAGCTGGGAGCCCGATGTGGGACTCGATCCTGGGACTCCGGGATCATGACCTGAGCCGAAGGCAGTCGTCCAACCAATTGAGCCACCTAGGCGTCCCTGAGACTATTTTTAATCTTAGTTTCCAAATCTTAAATTTGGAGATCAGTCTCATGCTGTCTGGGCTGCAAGAAGCATCTCGAGATCACATTTCAAAACAAAAAGCCAACCCAGTTTGCTTCCCTGGGGGGCCATTTCGCAAGAGAGGACGGCTGCTATTGAGGGTGGGGTCGTCACTGCTTCACTTGACAAATCTTGAGTCCTTTCAGATATGAATTTAACTCTGTTTACTATTTCTCCCTCTATGATTTTTTTAAATGCTGTAAACATCTCTGATCATTGAAAACAACTAAAAACACATATAAGCAAAATGAAAGGGGAGAAGATCATGAGTAAGCCCATGACTTACCGACACATTCTATTAGGTTTATTTCTTTTTAGACTCCATGTATCTGTCTGTATCTAACTATGTCTGCATATTTCTCTACATGTACATATATCCTTGGGATAATACTGTATATGTCATGTTATCACTTGCTTTTTTACTTAACAGGGTAGTACTTACATACCTATAGCCTCATTTGTGGATCTGCAATAATTGATTTAAGTAGTCCCCCCTTGATAGATTCGTAGCTTGTTTTCAGTGATTTACTTCTATAAACATTACCCTGAACATCCTATCACACATTGTTGTGCTGTTACCTAATTATTTCCTCAGGATAAACTTACAGAAGTACAATTGATGGATTCAAAGGACATGCATATTATTAAGGTTTTTGATACATGTATCAAATGAGCTATCATCTGTAAAGGCTGAAGTAGTCTATTTCCTCTATGTTCGAAGAATGAATTGTTCTTGTTGGCAAAATTCTCCCAGACCACAACCTATTTATTTATTTATTTATTTATTTATTTATTTATTTATTTATTTTAAGAAGCACCGTCCAGGGGGTGCCTGGGTGGCACAGTGGATTAAGCATCTGACTCTTGGTTTTGGCTCAGGTCGTGATCTCAGGGTCATGAGATCAAGTCCGCATCAGGCTCCACACTCAGTGCAGAGTCTGCTTGAGACTCTCTCCCTCTGCCCCTCCCCCACTCATGTGTACACACGCATGCGTGTGCTCTCTCTCTCTCTCATAAATAAATCTCAAATAAATAAATAAATAGATAAATAGATAGATAGCACAGTCCTCAACTCAGAGCCTTCCTGCTCAGCTTTGTATGGCCAGACCCATTTCCCCAACCTGCTCCCAAACTTGCGGCCAGAGCATCTGCTAGCTCTGCTAAGCGCATGTGGCCCAGTGTCTCATTCTCATCCTTGTACTTTTTTCTCTTTTCCAGAGTGAACTAGATGTATCCTTTTTCAAAGCTGTGAGCCAGGTTTTCCTCAGTACTTGGCAAAGCACAGGCTAGTCCCAATCAGGTAAGTGCCACGGGCCAGGAAAAGGATGCAGCAGAATCCAGAACCCAGAATGCTAATTATCCATCAACAGTCAGAGGTGCAGGAGCTTTGCAGAAACACCCTTTTCTTTTTTTCACCCTTTGCCCTTTTTCACAAAGATGATTCTTATATGTTTCAGACAGGGCAATGCTGTGGTCGTAGTTGATAATAACTGGTCTAACAATGTAACTTCTTTTAAGTATATAGAATAGACCTTTACAGAATTTGAGTAACACAGCTAGAAAGTCCTTGGTCCTCCTAGAGGATGGATTTTCATGGCTCCAGGTCTAAATCTCCAGAAGTCTCTCACATCATCAGAATAAAGCCTTCAGTGATGATACACTGGAGGGTTAAATAATTGCCTGGCTTGTATACATTTACTTTAATAGCAGAGAAAGCTCTATTTTTCTTTTCTTTCTTAACCCTTTTATTTATTTATTTATTTTAAATAGATTTTATTTATTTATTTGACAGAGAGATCACAAGTAGGCAGAGAGGCAGGCAGAGAGGGGGAAGCAGGCTCCCTATGAAGAAGAGAGCCTGATGGGGGGGGCTCCATCCCAGGACCCTGGGATCATGACCTGAGCCGAAGGCAGAGGCTCAACCCACTGAGCCACCCAGGCGCCCTTTCTTAACCCTTTTAAATCAAAGTATGCAAGGTCCCCCCCCCACCCCGCCCCAAACAGTTTTTGCTTCAAATACTGTAGGCCTGTGGATTTTGGCAGGGGCCTCTGGGTTTTTCATGAATGCTCTGGAGGCAAGTTGAATTTTAAGTTAATTTTTACTTCAAAAATCTGCTTGAAAGCAATAATGAAAGAGTCCTTTGTGAAAACATCTGGCTTAAATCTAAAATAGTAACAAATATAACAAATACATTATAACAGGTTTCTATAGACATATATATACATTAGACATCAGTACATCTGGGGGAAAGGGCCATTTAGCTTTTACTCTTGATAGAAAATGTCATCACATTGATAAACTCCGTTTCCAGGCTGTATCTGGCAGCCTCTTTAAATTAACTGGGAAAATATGAGTGCCCTCTAGTGGTGAGTGACCTAAATCTATGATCCCTTTGACCTAGGACGTCCAAGTCTGTATATCAAGGGGTATTTTTATTCAGCATGTTATATTCCATTTTAACTAAACCTTTTAAAGCAGTTCAGAATAGATCTCCTCTTCTTGTACAGGGGAATAAGAAAAATGCCTTTGGACTTAAAAAGTCATCAGGAAGATAGGAAAAGCTGTTAGATACTTCACCAGGAGTACAGAAACCCAAATTCTGCTTTTGAACCTGCCACAAACTGTAGGCGTTGGACAAGACGCATAAACCCTTCATCTCAAAATAATAGGATTAGTCTAGAAGAGCTTTAACACCCTCTCAGCCTTAATATTTGATGTTGCCATGACTCTAGGTAACTGAGCTGAGTTACCTTACACCTGGAACAGGAAAAGAGACTCTAACTAGTCTAGAAGTTCAGAGAAGCAGATATAACAGGGTATGTATTATAGCTGAACTAGTTGTATTGATGTATCTTACATATTGATTAAATGTTTATTAGAAGTAGAGACAGGGGGCGCCTGGGTGGGTCAGTGCGTTAAAGCCTCTGCCTTCGGCTCAGGTCATGATCTCTGGGTCCTGCCTGCTTCCTCCCCTCTCTCTCTCTGCCTGCCTCTCTGCCTACTTGTGATCTCTCTCTCTCTGTCAAATGAATAAAATCTTAAAAAAAAAAAAAAGTAGAGACGGGCTTGTCTTTAGAGCCCTCTGGTGTATAGCATAGGTCCAAATCATGATCTCTAGCATTCTTTTTTTTTTTTTTTTTAGGTTTTATTTTTAAGTAATCTCCACACCCAGCGTGGGACTCAAACTCACAAGAGGAGTCCCATGCTCTTCAGACTGAGCCAGTCAGATGTCCTGAGCTCCAGCTTTCTTATTCAAATTTAATTTCCACACCAAGGCACACAGTTTGTACCTTCTCCCTTTATTTTACTTAGTTTCATTTTTGCCTTCCCTTCCTCTCTATTTTTCTTCTAACTCAATTTTTTTTAATTGAAGTACAATTAACAAACTGTGTTAGTTTCAGGTGTACCTCTGACTAATTTGCATATTTACTGTCCTTCGAAATTACTTAGGTGTATCCACCCGACAGATTAGGAATTTTGCATCATTTAGAGAAGGGAACTGAATCTGCCCAGAGCTGGAAGTGTAAGCCTTTGCTCAAGGCATAGTTTCACGTGGACCTCCAGTGGCCTAAAAGTGAAGCAGGTAGCCGGGCAGGTAGGCTATGGGGTACCCTCTCTTCTATTAACATTCTTAAAAGGTTTCCACCCTTAGCCATCTGAAAACAATCCAATTAAAACCCACGCCTTTACTCTGCCTCATACATAGTTCTTTCTATCACATGTCTGGGAAGGACCTCTCCACACCAATTTCATAACAGTAAGATGAGAGCCTTTTAGAGGTGCAGCCTCAGTTTCCTGCCCCCTCTGTGTAGGGCCGAAGATGCTCCACATCACTGCCCTGGGAGCATGACCCCAGCATTGCTGAGCAGCTAACATGGGTCAGGGCTGCTTGGCCAGGAAAGCTTCCTTCAGCCATGAAAGTCTGAAAACAGGCAGCTGATAGAATTGTAACCTAGAGCTGGTTCTCCCAACACTCACAACACCTATCTTTGTGTTTGCTCAGGCTTCAGAAAGCCTCCCTTGTCCACCCACATGGAATAGACGCACTTTAAGGCTTGGCTTTGGTGCAGCCCCAGGAAGATGGAAGGCAAAACCCTGTAGAATTCCCAAGAAGTCCTTTACTTGCCATCTTTTTCTCCAGAAGCTTCATTCCCCTGAAGCATTCTAAGAATGGGGCAGCTTTCCAGAGTCCACGTGATTAAACTTTGAGAAATAAAATGAACCATTTATATGCAAGTGGTTAGAAGGGGCTTATTCTACTGTTAGTAAGACCTACATCACAGAACAAGACAGATGGCATTTTAAAAAGAAATGACCTGGGACGCCTGGGTGGCTCAGTTGGTTAAGTGTCTGACTCTTAGTTTCAGCTCAGGTCATGATGTTAGGTTTCTGGGATCGAGCCCTGAGCCCCACATTGCACTGGGTTCTGCACTGAGCAGGGAGTCTGCTTCCCATCTCTCTCTCACTCTGCCCCTCCCCTGGCACTCTTGCTCTCTCTCTCTCTAGAATAAATAAATAAATCTAAAGAAAGAAAGAAAGAGAGAGAGGGAGGGAGGGGGGCAGGAAAGAAGGGAGGGAGGAAGAAAGGAAGGAAGGAAAGGAGAGAGGAATGACCCAAGTACAAGAAATTAGGACAGAAATTCTGGCTTCTTGAAAACGCTTCTACTAAGTGGCAACTCGGTGTTGCAGTTGGTGTCAGGTGGGGCAGACCCTTGGGGCCGGGCGTGTCAGTGACCTAAATCATTCATCTGCCGTGCATAAGTTCCTGCGCACTCTTCACATTCTCCTTTACCCACTGGGCTGAAATGTGGCGTGAGGACTCCTGAGGCCCTGCTTCTATAGAGAAAGTTTGCCCTAGTACATCCTTTAGTAGACTTAAGATTTCAAGTTCTGGGGGCTCCTGGCTGGCTCAGTCGGTAGAGCATGGGACTCTTGATCTTGAGATCATGAGTTTGAGCCCTGTGTTGGGGAGTAGATTGTACTTAAAATAATAATTTTTTAAAATCTAAAAAAAGCCCAGGGGGCGCCTGGGTGGCTTAGTGGTTTGAGTCTCTGCTTTCGGTTCAGGTCATGGTCTCAGAGTCCTAGGATCAAGCCCCGTGTTGGGCTCTCTGCTCAGCGGGAAGCCTGCTTCCCACCCCACCCCCCGCCTGCTTCTCTGCCTACTTGTGATCTCTGTCAAATAAATAAATAAAATCTTAAAAATAAATAATTTAAAAACCCAGAGACTTCAAATTCCATGAATTAAAATGGTTTTTAGGAATCAACTAGTGAGCTTCCCAAAATGTATGTGTTCAGTTCTGTAACCCCAGATTTGCTGAATTCTCCAGATAATTCATAATTCAAAGGCACTGTCTCCACCCCCTCTGGTAAATAGGGGAATGGCGCCCGTGAATGGTGCTATGGGGGAGATGTCCATCTCCTCCTCAGTTCAGGGCACACCTACTAATGTATGAATGTATAGAAAACCTTAACTACGTTTTTGGTATTTGGTGCCTTTAAAGTGGCTTAAAGACTCAGTTTATTTGGGCTAGAGTGGAATCCAGCAATACTATGTTTAGATTTGGACACTCAGGATCCCTTTCCTGGGCCATGGGCCTTAGGGACCCCCACCTGGCTTTCCTTCAGCAGCATCCCTCTCCATGGGATGAAGATGCTTATCCAGAGCCTGCAGGGCCCCAGTCTACTTCTTGACCATCCTCCAGCTATCTGGTCCCCCGAACTCATGGGGTGCCCATATACCAGGGCCTGTTGCTAGGTAGGGCTTGTATAGACCTCTCCCCATGACTGGGGACAGGAATGACAGAGAGCCTGGGATGGTAACCCACATACACACATGGGGAAAAATAATGAGGAGCAGGCTGGAACTCCTCTTTATATTCCATAGCCACCTACCCCACAAATATAGGGTAGGCCTAGAATCCAGAATGTTTTCTCTGATTCCAAAATCATTTTTTTAAAGCTTTTATTTATTTATTTGCCTGAGAGAGGCCGTGAGCAGGAAGGAGGGGCAGAGGGAGAAGCAGGCGCCTCACTGAGCAGGGAACCCCATGCCGGACTCAGTCCCAGTACCATGGGATCATGACCTGAGCCAAAAGGAGTCACGTAACCACCTGAGCCATCCCGGCATTTCCCAAAATCTTTTAAATAGATTCTTTAGGACATTCTTTTAAAATATTCTAGAATTCTTTTAAAACATTCATTTAAAACATTCTAGAAATCTTTTAAA